GTTATTTATGTGCAGTGGTTGCTTGGGGTGATTGGTAGAATGTTTACCCATAATAAGTGTGAATAATTATTTGGAAGTGTTGACGATGTTAAAATGATTGACGCAATTTTTGTAAGTATTAAATTGAGAATATGTTACAAATGGCTGAAATGAATTTTAAAAAAATTAAATCGTATGGAAAAGTCTATCGCAGCGAAAACTCACTCCAAAAAAGTAAATGCTTAAAAAGATTTATTGGTTTGTGCAACCAAACAAAAATTTTAAATAATATCCCCGTGATATTGAATTATATCTGTCTGCCTAGTGTTGTTTTAAGAACGAGAGATGTTTATATGAGTGGATCGATACCAAGAATATATATTTTCTCTAATAGAAATTTTTATTTTGTAGTTTACCATATGTTTGCGCAGCATAAAATTTGTCCTAAAATTCGGCTTCCAGCGTTTTTGAAGGACCAATAACAAAAACTTTTGATCTGAAGCAAAAAATATTGATTTCATTAGTAACTAAAACAATCATTTTTCTGTTATTGTAATTGTCTGAGATTTTAAAAGATGAAATTGTTGGTGTTGTTGGCAAGTCAAATTGGAATACCATTCCAAACTAAAAGAATAATAAACTAATAACGTGTAAAGACCAACTACCTAAAAAGTATTTTTATGTGTTTGTATTTTATTCCTTGTAACTAAATGGTATTTAAATTCCTTTTCATTCGTCGCATATTGGATGGATTCTGCCTAGACTTAGCATACAAATTGTTTTAAGACATTTCGAATTGTTTTATTTAATTATTATGATTCTGTTGATTAATATCTCGTTCCGATTGCAATTTGTTAGTTTTCTGACTCCAATTTACTGCTTTTAATTCAAAAATAAGACAGGAATGAAGTAAATAAAAGAAAAAAATCAAAAAATAATGAAAAGAATAGAAAAAGAAATAAATTTTAAAAAGAATAAAAGAAACAATAATTATGAAAAATTACGATAATATGAATGAAAGGCGAGAATGAAACCAACTAAAGAATTGAAACAACTTTGTTTTAATTGCTGTGTACTCATTTCTGTTGTTACTTAAACACTTTTTGAGTATGAAAGTTACTGTTTTGCGATGTGTCATCATTACTACTACATTTAATGTATGAAAAGCAAAAGCAAATATTAGATAAGATAGAAAGAGGAGATTTGATAAATCAACAATTAAATAGTCATTCACTTGGGTACTGTACAGCAGGTGTTTCAAATGCTTGAAATCGTTCCATAAGCTAAAATATATGATGATCAAATGAAATTTAATTAAATTAAAAAGAGAAATATATCAAAAAGTTAATACCAATATTTTAAACGAGTAACGATGGCAATGTTCTTTCCATTCGACGAAATTTTAGGTACGCGCTCTAATGCCTGTAGAAAAGATGCTTGAAAATGATAAGATAGCCTTTAATAAGTTTTATTGATAGATAATACTTATTAAAATAGAAAAAGAAAAAGCACTAATTCTATTCTTATGACGCTTATATCAATAAGTAAGGCAAACTTAAAGTAGTAAAGTAAAATGAATGGTATTTCAATGCTACAATAGTGCATAATGTGCTTTTTGACAACTCATTTCATAGGCAATTCCATTTTGTTTAGTAATATTTTCCTTCCATATATGCAATTCTGTCTGTGTGCTGAATTTCATGCATATTATTGCTGTCGTAAACTTGACTGTTTCAATTAGATTGTACTTTGATGTGAATTACATAGAAAACAA